AAAGTTAATAAAGAAAATTAGAGCGCCACACGCGCCCCACGATGTAATACATCGGGGATAGTTAAAAAAAAAAAAAAGATTGAAATCAAGCCATATTTTTGAATTATCTGATAGTATTATTTAATATATATTTCCCATATTCTTGAAGGCGATAGCTCAAATTAATGGTGTGAACCAACTGCAGGGTTTTCCAACCAATCTTACTATAATAATGCCACCTTTGAATAAAAAAAGATGCCAACTTAAGGCTGCTAGAAAATCAAAAGGTAAACGTGCTCGTTCAGAAAAAAATAGGACAGTATGTGAATATGATAAACAAGATGATTATGAACAAATAAATGAAAAGCTGAATGATCATATGTGGGTAGATGAAGATATCGATGAAAGAGCTGCTGATTAATTTGATATTCTACTTTCAGCTGATAGGAATAATAATGTTTGAAAGACTTCAGGAAGGCCCATTTTTAAATTTGGTGATTCTGAAAGAACTTTAAGGTGAAAAAAAGCTGTATTAAAAAAAGTCACTCAAAATATTCAACCTATTACCTTTTACTTATCTTCTGCTTCAGCCCACTTCTTAGCACCTAACACTACTTCGACCTGTGCACTTTCAGATACAATTGCATTGGTACAATCAGCAGAGAAAAATAGAGAGAAAAATATTGAAGGAATTATGAAGAGAATTATGGAGAGAAATACAAAGGGAAATATAAAGGAAAATAGAGAGAGAATTATAAAGGGAATTGTGGAGGGAAATATGAAGAGAAATATAAAGAAAAATAAAGAGAGAATTATAGAGAGAAATATAGAGTAAAATATGAAGAAAAATGTGGAAGAAAGTATAGAAAAAAATATAGCTAATGAAAAAGCAAGAATGAAATTAGCAATCGAGGAACTGAACAATTTATTAAAAAAGAATAATGGACATATGGATAAAGGAACTAAGGTTTGCTTACAAGCATCACTGCAATACTTGTAGTTAAGACACCAAGGTTGAACTAAAATTCATGCAAGTGTGATAATTGCTAGCTCATTAGGTTGGGATGATTATAATATGTAATGTATTCGTACATAGGGTAATAAATAGTTAAAGTGGAGAAGATTACCAAAGAATAATTGTGAAAAGTTCATAAAGATAGTGAGTCTTATTGCTGATAAAAGGATATCTTTAAAGATAAAATTTCTCTTATACTGTATAATATTAAAATATAATTGTTATGTAACTCATGAAGACATATTTTAAATAGATCATATCATACTTAAGAAGTCATAAATTTAGTATGAACCCTAAGGTTCTGAAAAAATTTGTGGAGAATGAAGTATTTCTGTCTTTAGATGTTGAAAAAAAGACAACTATAAGTGAAAGAACTGCTTCAACATGGCTCAACAAGTTGAGATGGCACTATAAAAAGTGGAAGAAGGGTATATATGTAGATAGTCATAAGTGAGAAGATGTGGTATGATACCAACAAGAGATTTTTTTGCCTATGATGGTGAATCTAGAACCTCTTCTTATTGAATATAATGAAAATGATCTGAATAAATTAGTTAAAAAAAATATTCTCCTAATGAAATGCCACATTGTGTAATAATACATGATAAAACAACATTAGCTACAAACGATGATAAAAAGACTGGATGGGCTCTTGAAAGTCTGTAATTTTTCTTATTATTTTTTTTTATTTTTTTATTATTTTTATTATTTTTTTTTTTTTACTTTTTTTTTTTATAAAAGGTGAACAAAAACTACATCCAAAAGGATGAGGTAGATGCATTCACATTAGTAAATTTTTATGTGAGCCTTTGGGACATGTTTATTTAACTACAGAACAACACTTATCCTATCTAGAAATTCCAAACAGATATGTTACAAAAATTCTTAAAGTTGGTGCAAACCATGACAGTTATTAGAATATTCAATTGCTTGCTAAACAACTTAAACATGCAATTGATATTTTGAAATTTTACTCTCTAATACAATCTTTGTTTTTGGATTTGATAATAGTTCTAGTCATAGTGCCTTCACAGAAGATGCATTAGTAGCAAGTAGAATGAATATAAAATATGATGGAAAACAGCCATAAATACATCCTGGTTGATTACCTGATGGTACCCCTCAAGAGATGGTCTTCCCACTTGATTCTAAGAAAGAAAAAAAAAGAGGACAGCCAAAAGGGATAAAACGAGTAATGAAAAAAAAAAATATTTGAGATCAACAATTAAGGGGCAAATGTGCTAAGTGCTCAAATGATGAGGAAACAATCTGTTGTAATATGAGAAAATTAGCTAGACAGTCTAATTTTATGAAGCAGAAAAGTGTTCTTGAAGAAATTGTAACTAATTGAGGTCATAAAATTTTTTTTTATCCTAAATTCCATCCTGAATTAAATTATATTAAATACTTTTAAGATGCACTAAAACAATATACAAGGAGCAGAGGATTGTGATCCTAGTGTAGTGGTTGGGTTGTCATCCTTCAAGTGGCAGGTCTAAGGTTCAAATCCCACCTATGATGAAATTTGGAAAT